CCTCTCGACGGGTTTGTTGAAGCAGAACTTGGTTCGGCGCACGAGCGAGCACGCACACACGAAATGAATGAATGTTTGCCGCGTGGGTACAGACGCAATTTAGTGGGTTCAGGGACGGTTAAGCGGGAGGATTGAATTCGTATCTCAGTGCAACCTTTTAGTGTACTAGTATCTAGACCGTATAGTGACCGGCGCGCAGCGCCGAAGAAAATTTTGGCAGAAATCGCTTATAGAAATCGGCTGCTGGCTCGCCCGATTTCCCTCGCCGAAACAGAAATCGGCTGCTGGATGCCGACGCCCCGATTTCTATCGCCACGCCTCGCACTGTAGAGCAGCCCCGCGGAGCCTCCCGGATGCATCGGCACACCGTCGTCCAGAACGCCGGCGCACGCGCTGCCCAGTGACTGGGCGGGTCTGCCCCGACTAGGGGCGGGCCCAGCCGCGCGGAGAAGGCCAGCGAGCTCGAAACACGTCGCCGCGGCCGGCCGTTTCGCAAGCCTGAGCGGGTCGCCAGACACCCGCGAGAGCCAGCAGCTAGAGCGCCGTCGTAGCCGCAGATCGAGTCGAGGAGCTTGATGTCCACGGTAGCAGTTGTGGGGAGCGGTGGCACGGTGCGTGTAGACGCGTCGATTGAGGGCTCCCTTTCGAAACGCGACGGGTACGGCTTGACAACTGCCAGCACAGTTTTACGCCGGCCAGCGTGAGAGCACAACAGGGAGCCGGCGACCCGTACGCTTTACGCGTGGCGGCCGGTGGCTGTCTGGAGCTCGTGCGAGCTGGGCCGACGCGTGGCCGAGCCGAGAGGACCAGCGAGCGACCACGTTGGCGATGAAGCTTGGCGGCCGGCGCCTCGTCGCCAGACGTCACAGCGGCGTGGACGTAGGAGTGTGCGGTGACGGTTACCGGCAAATCCGGCCCAGTGTGGCCGGCAGCTGCCTAGCGCTGGCCTGTGGCCGGCGCCGCGGTGGCGGAGAAGGCGTCTCGCCGCCGTGGCGGCGGTCGGCAGGTGCGAGCGTGATGCCATCTTGCGGGACGACACCCGTCTCGCAAAACCCGGACTGCCACCTTAAATTCTTCCGTCTGTTGCAGCCAGGCGCGCGAGCTCATTCACAATGCGCAGCGGCCGCCGCAAGGCCGCCAAGGACGTCAAGCAGGAGGAGGAGGTCAGCAAGGAGGTTGCCGAGGCGCCCGCGCCCGCGCCCGCTTCTGCGCCCGCGGCGGCGCCGCTTCCTCCGAAGGAGGAGCCGCCGCCGACGGCGGGAGGCGGTGGGCGCGAGCGGGATCGCGGCCGGAAGCGGGCGCGCGAGGCGGAGGAGTCCTCCCCTCCGGTCATCTGCCCGATCGCGCTGGTGGCGGGGCACCCGAGCGCGGGCGCGGGCTTCAACGACGGCCACCCCACCGCCGCGCAGTTCCGCGGGCCGATGGGCATCGCTCTCGCGCCTTCGGGCCACCTGCTCGTGTGCGACTCGGACAACCGTCGGCTGCGGCGGCTGGTGCCGCTCGTCACGCAGACGGGACCGCCGGCGCCGCCGGCCGCGCCCGGCAACGAGAGTCGCGCCGGGCTGCGCGGCGGCGGCGATGACGGCGTCGCAGTCGTGCCCGGTGCCTTTGCGAAGGTCGGGACGCTCGCAGGGTCGAGCCGGCCAGGGACGCACGAGATCACCCGAG